TTCCACTGTTCTGTTAATTAAAATGAGAACACTGTAGGCCACATCTGAGGATGCAAGCGACTCGTGCTTGCGAAACGTCAGAAAGAAATTCCATTTTACCACGGCTTAAAACCCCACTAGTTTCAGTTATCAATGTTCGATTAATTACCTCACAGTGGAACATGGAACAAGACAAGGAACCATCATTGATAATCTGTCTTTCTTTATTAGCAATAAAGTTGTTCAAACTGTAGGGCGCCTTAATAATCCAATACTCGAAATGATGGATGGATTCTGAGCGCCTCTCCCTAATGGAGATAAACTTTCGCTGGAAAATGGATTTGGTGTGACGGAAATCGTATTTGCTCTTCTCAGATTTCGCGCTCGTTGTTTAAACTGCCTAAGGGGGCGGAAAAAGAACATTATTGTCCAGAACTGTTCCTGCCAGTTCAGGCTTGATGAACAGCAATTCTCCATGCAGAGCGACTTAACGAAGCTGTTCTCCCACCTTCGCCATCATTAACTAATTAGTTAAGACAAACAGCGGCCCGTCCAGATTTGCGGGAGTTACAGGCGGAAAATCCACTTTAAGCCGCCACTAATGGCTAAGTTGTCCGGTTTACTGAAAAATTCATATTTCAGCTTAGTAGGACGGAGTCTTTGTAACCTCCCCGGTTATTTTTGTGCGAAACAACCAGGCGCCAATCATCATCAATTGGCCAATTATTCAGGATGCAACGAGTTAAAAGCGCTTTTTTCATTAGGCCAACAATAATGGAAATGCTTCGCATATTTGCCTAAAAGCTCGGGCAAAGTTGACCCAAAATTGCCAAATTCCGCCCGAAATCATTGGATTTTTGCACCGCCGGTTTTCATTTCATTTATTCGACATACAGGATTGTTAAAATTTGGCAGCCACAACAGCAAGGTTTTTTCCATTTATCTCCATGCTGGAATATTTCAGCCCATTAGGACGGTTTCACAATGGGGATGCCTTAGCCCTGTCACAGCTGTAGAATAGGCATGTCTGTTCTGCTCAAGAAATTCCCACTTTTAACATAATAATATGCTGGATATATTCATTGTTGACAGTGGGCCACTGGAGAATACGTGTCAGCTCGGTTGGAAAATGCGTGAAAAATACCCAGACGATTTTCACCTGGTGGTGCGGGTAGTTCAAACTGGGGCCGGTTTATTTGCGGCAAACGAACGTGGTCTGGCAGGTCAGGCTATGTTCGTCTCGCTCTCACCCCCCAGCGTAGTTGGTGCTGCGCCGTGCTCGGGCTGTGATGGGAGTGGACTTTGCTCTAACGGGCTCCGAGTTTGAAGTAACTGGTTTATGGCGCGCTCTGGATTTTCTTTGTTTCTACCGCAAATAAATGTGCAGCTATCAGAGTAAGTTGCTGCCAAACCCCAGCAACTCGATTCCATATTAGCAGGCCTATTTCTCCATTAGCGCAAATCGGTGCCAGTTGTGGCCCCAATTCCCCCCGAATGACCATTTTCCAACCAATTTGGCCGATTTTTGAGGCCATTGTTACAAGCAAACGTTGCGGATGCACATCGAAAAGTCTGGATTAATCTACGGTTTAATAACGTCTAAAGTACGTGCCGTCAAGTGAACTGGATCAACGCAATTAATTCGACGAGTTATTGACGTCAGCCGTCACCCGAGCGGGTTCAAGTTCCTTCAGTTAGCGCCCTTTTATTGCGTTTTGCATATTTAGCGGGGTGAACTAGTTGCGCTTAATGAAGCCCATAACTCCCAATGCCTATTGCATTTGACATATTTAAATACTGGCTGATATTCCTTATCGACTGGGAACATGTGAACGAAACTTCGGAGTTTTATGGGCCTTTTTGTCCATCAAAGCCGTGCTTCAATTATCACATTATCGGTGTTTGAAATGCGCTTTTATCCGGCTGCGTCCAAAGCAAACACACCGATTTCAGGGATTGCGCTTTTACTGTGGATTTGGATGTGTCCAGGTGCCGCTATTTCCATTTGCAAATTCCCTCGTACTGTTTGCCTACGATTGCTGTTGGATTAACGTTTTAATTCGTTCGTTTAATCTGCGGCTGCAAATCGGCTGTTTCCTTCCCTAAAATAACGTGGAAAACTTTAAGGGCCAATTTTGGCAAACCGATCGGATGCCCGACGAAAACAACACATGTTCCCCATCAAATCCCGATCGTTTGATTTCCTGCTGGAGGATCAATAGCAAGACAAATCATATGCAAATCGCGCTTCCGGACATTCGATTCCATCCGAGAAGGGAGAAACGGGAATAACAAGTCCACCCTGGTGACTACCATTAGGGAACATTTTCTGAGCATATTGGGGCGCTCCGGCGAACTTTGAGCCGGATTCATTTTAAATGTTCTTTAGTCGCGCGCGTCTTGAACAATGAGAACAGTTTGTGGCTTCTGCAGGCCCTCGCAATTCGCGAAATTCAATCAGGCCTTCTCGACTGTCAGTCATAATAAGCTGTGTGATAAATCGCTTTTCTAGCTGAAACCATCACTTTCAGCCTGCAGACGGCCGGATCGATTTTCAATTAGTTGCTCGATTTAAAGGCCGGCTTCGATTTGGAATCATCGTCTTTATCGCGAAGAAATTGTTCAAACAAATACAGTTTTTGTACAGTCAATTGGGTTTTCCACAGTCGATCCTGATCAACTGCATGGGGGTTTCACAGCACGGATGGTTCTAGAGCGGGTTTCTTCAGCTGCAAAATCAGGTTTTTTACGGCTTCATTGCAGGCGACCTCAATGTCTTCGTTCGCTGTCAGCAACGTCGTCTTTAGTTCTGCGAGCAGGTTGCTCACCTTTTCTCTGGTCATTTTCAGGATCTTCTGCTCAAAGTGTTCTGAAAATTGGCAACAAAAACGTTTTACTGTAAAATACTGGCAAACTGGATCTTTTATGCAAAAAATGAAAAGATCGATTTTACTCAATTCTGTTGCTGCAAATTTACTCAGAAAAAATGTTAATAACCCTTTTGAAGTGATAACTTTTTATGGCGCCTGAGGCTTGGGACGCATATATGCACTTTTATTCGACATTTTTCTCTTAGTGCGGGTGCATCTGTAGATCTGATAAACTTTTCCAATACACATTGCGTTATTAAACTGACAGTGATTTTGATTTATCAATTATTGAGTGTGATATTATTGTGTTCGGTGCAGTTTATTTTATAACGCTGATAACAATGAATCAACAAATTATCAAGGGAGAAGTTGCAGATACTGCAAATACTAGGTTAAGGGTGCTCATGTACTAAATGCCTGTTCGAGTTTCGCCTTCTTTTAACTTTCCAATTCAAGTACACACACAATTATAGACACTCAAGCAGTTTAAGTGCAAAAAATGCTTATTTTCAATTCTCTATATTATTTCTATGATTAATTGTGTTTATCACGCATCAAAATGGATTTTTTCCCTTCATATACCCTTTGATTTCTTTATGATTAAATCTTCTCAATTTAGTTTAATTTTTTAGCCTTGGATTAGTTTAGTTAGATTTTTTTTGAACATACGCGCGATGGCTTACGTTATGTATCCATATAGTGTGTCAAGTGTATCGTGTCTCTATAGCTCTTCCTGGTTTTACCGTCTATTTTAAACAGATAGAACGTCTTCCAATCGCCAAAATTAATTGATTTTTTAGTCCTATTCAGATACAAGTTGTAGCAGACGTTCATGAACAACATACACAAGAGCAGTCACAAAAACATGCGACAATGCGAAAAATTATAAGTAATGCTGAACGCCAAAAACGATTTTGTGCTAAAAAAGGAGCATTAAGTAATAGATCAACTCAAAGTATCTTTTATCAACCACGAACTAGTGCTGAACGTCAAAGATTATACAAAGCAAATAAGGGATTACGGCTAAAAAATACAGAAACTCAAGAAGAAGAGTTTACACAAACCCAAGAAGAGCAATATGTACAACATCTCGCTAAAGAATGTTAAATGTTGCAAATCAAAAGAAACTTTACATTCAAAAGGAAATTAAAGTAAATTTTACCTATTCCTGATCCATTTATAAATTATTAGACTAACAAGAATATTAAAATGATAAAATAAAATTATTATTGCCATCATGCGTTAAACAAGTTCAATATTTTATGGTTTCTATAAATATATGACGTTAACACTTCTGAAAATGTAAAACTCATTAACCGATGAGTTATAACTCGTTAACGCAGAGAGCGGCAACAACTCAATAGCGCAACTCAACACAGTGTTGCCCAACCTAAGCTACAGCCTCCTGCCACCCTTACCTCTGAGTTGGTTGATGGCAGAGTTGGCAAGGCTCTCAGCTTCAGGGCGCCCAGCCGATCCCTTCGCACCGGCTAAGAGCTGGCGCATCTTCTGAAGAAGCGCCAATCTCTGATCACTTTTGTTGTTCAGCACCAGGCGAACCATGTGCTCAGTCAACTGCAAATCAATCAAAATAACTGGACAACTCCTGATCGGTTGGAGAGTTTGTTACTTGAAGGAGCGTGTCGGCTTGCGAGATCTGCAACGTTTCGACTGCTTGGTCCAGTGCCTTCATGCACTGGTCGTAGTTCTCATCGATGAACTGGTCTTGCAGCAGCAGGACTACATTGCAGTCGTTCAGTTCCTGCAAGCTGAAGCAGCGCAAGCTGTTGGGAGAAGCCGCCGACTTTTCCGAGTCGGAAAGAGCCTCGGCCCCGCAGGCGATGTTGTAGTAGCTGGAGCTGCGCACGTTGTGCAAAGACAGCGACAGATCAGGAATCAGCTTCTCTTCACTTGCAGGCTGTTGAATCGGGGACGAGCTGTGTTTCACCTGGAAATTCACCGAAAAGTCCAACGCCTCATTCGGCCTGGCCTTTATGTCATCCGGCACATTTACGGCGAGGTTTACAGTCTCCTTCGACCCCCCAGCCTCTCCCAGTCGTCTGATCCTTTTAGCGATCCGCGGGAGAACGGTGTAGCTGACGTTGAGCGGCCGATTCCTGCCGGCTGGAGTGGCGCTGATGTCTCCCGATGCTTTTGTTTGAGGAGTTTTACTCAGCTGCTTCACAGGATGGCGCTGAGCGCTGTATCGGTCAAATGTGCTGCTGGTGTTCTCGTCCTCTGGGGTGGTCGGATAGCAGGTATGTGGGATACGCGGCCTCTCCAGAAGCGATGGACAATGCTTAAAAATTTTATTTTTATTCGAATGAATCAAAAAGTGCCATTTTGCGAACAGAAGCGATGATCAAAAAGAAGCACTTTTCTTTAGCGTTCATTTGTTTTACTTTTGCGCACGGACTTTGCCGCACAGTGTGCGACAAAGTAAATGTGACACTTTGAACTTGCCACTGTTATTATATATTTTTTAGTATTTTTATTTAAAAATAACCGAAATGCTTTTTTAAGGAATTACGTAGGTTTATCAGCAAATATTGATCCTATTTTCAAGTTTACTTACAATTTGTAAATTATACCTTTGTTACAAGTTCAGTCTCATAATCGTTTTAATGGCCTACTTATCTACTTTTGCGATGTTGTCACACGTAAAACTCGATCTTTTTAAGAAGCGCAAATGTCATGCAGAGTATGCAATATGCATACACCATCCCAAGACCACAGGTGTTTCAAGTTGAAAAAGTACTTAAACTTAATTACAAACTTTAAAACATGACATTTCAAAAAATGACATTGCCACAAAATTTTTAATATGAAATCGAGGCATTTTATTATTCGTGTAATCTTTCATTCGAATAAAAAATAATGTTCGATACGAGGGCGAAAATTGGTTTTTCGAACTCCTGACGGATTGACACCCTCGACTTCGTCTCGGGTGTGAAACGCCGTCGTCGTTCGAAAAACGACATTTTTCGCCCTTGTATCGAAGACTACTATTGTGTTTGACACCCTGTTTAGCAGTTGTTTTCAGGCGGAAAAAATCATAGTCCCATTTCCAAAAACTTACCACCGACTCGGTGAGTTTCTTTTTCAATCTGGGTATGCAAGAGGTCTGAGGACTGGCGGTTGTTTCAGGGTCGTTCTTGTAGGGAAGACTCTTCCTCGCTTTGCCCACTGACTGACTTTTCTGCGGGAAAATTGCGAATTTCGCACAAAATACGTTTGAAAATTGATGATTGATCAATCACCTTGCTCAGTTGTTCGGTGCTAGATTTGAACAACTTCGGAGTTCTACTGGCGCCCCCACGTGGAGGTTCCATGGAATGCCTGCCATAGTTCTCGTGGTTCTAAAACAAGTCCAAAGTTGGCTAGCAGTGTTTAAACTGTGTGTATCTTGGATACCTTTTTCAGTCTGAAGGTATTTTCGCTGAGTCTGGATGAGGGCGAGTTGAAAATCAAGCTGGTTTGCTCGCAAGAGCCCTTCGGACCAATGGGAGGCTGTGAAAGCACAATTACCCATCGGATTTATGAGGGTTGTTTCAACATTGAACATACCTTCGGCTTGCATGGATTCAAACCTTTCCCATAGGGGGAACCCGGAAACTTTTGCTTCAAATTGGGACCGGATCCTACAAGAGAAAACGATTGTTAACTCGATGGCAAACAACGTCCATTTCAACGCGCCTTTGTGCGATTCCTGCTTGTTAAATCGGGAAGTTTTTGGAAACATCTTGCAGCTATTTAAAACACAATCACCACACAGCACGTGAAACTGGCAAAGTTGACAAGGTTTTTTTCCGGGAATTTCGAATAGCATTTTAAACCCGCAAGAAATGAATTTGGTTTTACCGGGGCTATGCTCAAAGTTCGTCAATGTTTGAGACTTGGTCTCATTTCAGTTCACACGCAAATTCTGCATGTCCCAAAATGCTATTCAAATCGCAATGAATTCTCATTTTTACTGGCTTAGTTATCCTTGCTTCACAACAAGTTTTTTCCTAATTGCTTCGTTTGTTTTAAAAATTCGTAACTTTCAATGTAGCAGGTGGCAACTTGAAATTTTAACACGCTATGGAGGACATTTGAGTCTACAAATGGTAAAAATTCCATTCGAATCGCAATTAATTCTGATTTTTACTGGCGTAGTTAAACTTGCTCCACAACAATTTTTTTTTCTAATTGCATCGTTTCTTCTAAAAATTCGTAGCTTTTAATCTGTAGCAGATGGCAACTTGAACTTTTCACACGCTATGGAGGACATTTGAATCTGCAAATGGTAAAAATTCCATTTGAATTACAACGAATTTTGATTTTTACGGGCTTAGTTAACCTTGCTCCACAACAAGTTTTTTTCCTAATTGCATCGTTTGTTTTAAAAATTCGTAACTTTCAATCTGTAGCAGGTGGCAACTTGAAATTTTCACACGCTATGGAGAACATTTGAGTCTACAAATTGCAAAAATCCCATTCGAATCGCAATTAATTCTGATTTTTACTGGCTAAGTTAAACTTGCTCAGCAACAAGTTTTTTCCCTATTGCACCGTTTCTTTTAAAAATTCGTAGCTTTCAATCTGTAGCAGGTGGAAACTTGAAATTTTCACACGCTATGGAGAACATTTGAGTCTACAAATTGCAAAAATGCAATTCGAATCGCAATGAATTCTGATTTTTACTGGCATAGTTAAACTTGCTCCACAGCAAGTTTTTTTTCTAATTGCATCGTTTTAGCAGGTGGCAACTTGCAATTTTCACACTCTATGAAGGACATTTGAGTCTACAAATTGTAAAAACGCTATTCTAATCTCAATGAATTCTGATTTTTACTGGCTTAGTTAACCTTGCTCCACAACAAGTTT